GCTGCAGGTACCTCGACGACGAGCTGGAGCTATGGCGCTGCAGGTAAGTCTCCCTGGCCTCCGCCCAATCTCTATCTCTCTCCAGTGCTACTCTAGCTCCTAATAGTGGCCAGAGCTGAAGACTACTGCTAACGCTACTACAACTACTGCAGCGCTCCTCCAGAGTGCTGCTGCCGATCATGAAGACTACCTCCTGCCTCCTGAACTGCACGTGAAGTGCCTGGGAAGTCCCTATGAACTACCTGCAGCCTGCAGGGCGGGCCAGTCTTATACAGTGCTGGCCCATCCAGGAGGCTGCTCTTGCCAATGCCAAAACGTGCCAGACCCTGGCGTTGAAGCTCAAACAAAGGTTGTCTTGAAAACGGGCCCAAAATGGCCTGTGCTAAAACCCTGGTCTGGTGCCTAAGTGTCAGGGCAGGTCGATCTTATGAGGGCCTGAAAATGGCCCTCCGTTTCAGGCTGAAAAGACTCAGGGCCTGGAGGGCCCTGTTTTAGGCTGAAACGACACAGGGCCTGTAGGCCCTTGTTTTCAGGCTTTCAGGCTGAAACGACACAGGTGTAATCCGAATACAAGACTCGAACACACAATCGACGGCTCGGCAGGCAAACACCATAAGGCTAAGTGGGCTGGGGTGAAAGTGAGGCCCCAAGATGAGCACTTCACCCCACCCCAGCACGGAGATCCCGCGACACGGCGTACCCAACCACACTCACCCCTACGCAGCCACATGGCTCATAGTATAATCTCTACGGCGGTTACTGCACGAAAGCACGTGTAATCCGAATACAAGACTCGAACACACAACCAACGGCTCGGCAGGCAAACACCTAACCATAAGGCTAAGTGGGCTGGGGTGAAAGTGAAGCCCCAAGRTGAGCACTTCACCCCACCCCAGCACGGAGATCCCGCGACACGGTGTACCCAACCACACTCACCCCGACACAGGGCCTGCAGGCCCTTGTTTTCAGGCTTTTAGGCTGAAAACGACACAGGGCCTGTAGGCCCTTGTTTTCAGGCTTTTAGGCTGAAAACAACACAGGGCCTGAAATTGGCCCTCATTTCAGGCGCAGCATGTTGCAGGGGCAGCATGTAACAGCTTCTCTGTACTTGGCCCCGCTTGGTCTGCTCTGTACATGCCCTGCTAGGGCTGCTCTTTGCTTGCCCCTGCTTGGGCTGCTCTGTACTGCTTCGCTTGGGGTGCTGCATACCTGTGGGGTAGGTGGGTGATGCTAGGTGGGCCAGGTGGTACGAAAGCGAACCCCCCCCCCCCCCCCCCCCCCCAACCAACTTCCCAAGGGGGGAAATTAAAAAAAAAAAAAAAAACAGTTTAAAAAACACCTTGAAAAAAAAACAAGACCTGCTGCATACAATCGTCAGGGTGCCCCAGGCATGGCATGGTCCCCAGCTTGCCATTGCCCAGCACATCTCTTTTGAACTTGTCAATGATGTCTTGTTGTTTGGTTGGGTCTTCGCGGATACGTTTCCTGGTATGGGGGCAGTCTGAATGATACTCGATGAGGAGGGTTCCCATGCTTCTGCCAGTGACACGGGCTGTTTGGCAATTGTTTGCTTGCAGCGCTTCTTCCAAATTGCCCGTAGTGTGAGGGGGCGAAGTCTCTGGTATAGTATGTGTTGCCACCTCTCCTGCATTCGCAGTTCCTTGAGACCTGTGAGTGTGAGCACCGGGTCGTCTGGGAGGGGGACAGATGTGGCTGCTTCACAAAGGTTGGCTGATCTGGCCTTTAGTTGGGCCGCCGACTCACAGGTTAGTAAGCAGTGTGGGAGGTCTTCTGGAGTACCCGAGGCCACGACGACTGCGTATTGACTGCCTCTCAAACACTCTCAGATGCAGAACAGACCCTCGCCAGCGCTTGAAACATCCACGGAAGCACAGGACTCAAGACGTGAGGGGTAACAAAGGAAGAATTCTACAGGCCCCTAAATGGGTAACCCTGCTCTTGCCAAATACGCCAACCCGACAGCCTTCCAGCTGAGAGGAGTGGGCATAGACCAGACCCCAGAGGTTTTAGGGTTAAAAAAAAAGATTTGACACAGCAGGAGGGTCCCCATAGGAGAAGCATGGATCACGTAGCAGGTAGAGGGAAGAATGGGGTTTAGGGTTTTAGAGGGCAAGATATAAATTAGTTTTCAGGATGGATAAATTGCCTCTAGTCTGCTTTTTGTCAATGTTTCTCTCCCCTTTTTGCTGGTTGTATTATTGAGGGGACCATTTTCTAAAATTCTGGTTTTGGATTAGCTTTGGGAAATCCTGAAGCATGGGACACTGGACCCGGTTTCCAGTAAGAGCCCAAGCTGGGTATCGGCCCCAGTACTCCAGGTTGAGATGTGGAGGGATTCCCGGCCTCCTTTTGCTTTTATGTGGGAATCGTCATCCAGGATTGCCTTTTATACCGGTCCTCCGGGTTCTTTTTGGTATCCTAGTTGGTTGCTTCCCGTTGTTCGGCCTATCAATGGGGGCGGTGCTATTGTGTGGGAATCATCATCTAGGATTGTTTTTTATGATGTCCCGGTACGAATTGCTTACGATGACGCCGAATAGGAATGTCGAGCAAGGCCATCTGCTGTGTATAGATATGTATCTGGGACTTTTTTTTATTTCTTTGCAGACAAGAATGTTTTGACATCCTGGTTGGTCTTGTCCCGTCGTTTTGCCTGTGTGTGTTGGGGCAGTGCTTGCATGTGGGACTTGTCATCTGGGATCTGTTTTGTTGCCCCCTGTTCTGTTTTATTTGGCTGTTCCCTTCCTCTTTTCTTTGCCTCTGTGCCTTTTGGCTGTGTGCAAGTGGGTCGATATGACACACGGGGGTGGGGACAGCCGCCGCTCAACCTACATCCACGTGGGCGGCCTTGTACGCAAGAGGTTCTGAACAGGGGGAGTTATAAGGAAGAAGATAAAAAACTG